AGGTTCGCTACATGGTACATCGCTCTGGACCAGTCAAGTTTCGGAGGACGTGGAACTTGATGGGGCATCGAGTTTCTCCAAAGTGCTTTGCAGCAGCTTTGGGGATTGGACATGAGAGACTTCAGCGGCTAATGGGTGGACAAGTCGATCGACGATTCAACATATGGGGCGGGGTTACCCTCTGCATTAAGTAGCTATCTACTTAGCCTTGAGATTTGTTAATAACCTGGTTAGATCGAGCAGGGATTGCAATCCTAGGCTTTGAAGAGACCAACTCACAAAGCCATGTCTGTGGACCTGTACCTGTTGGGTGTATACACATCTGCCGTTGGCATGTTGCCCACCAAGCTCCTTGTTTGAAGGATTGAATTTCACTTCAGTTAAAGACCAATGATTGTCACCAATTTGACCTAGGTTCCAGCGTGCTGCGCGTACACGTCGAAAAGCTGAAAAAGCAGAAACGATGCGCTGTTCTATCGGTGAACATGGATATGAACTGCAGTGCTCCTTGCCCACAACACACAAGTTGTTATGATTTAAGCTTTGATTGGCGTGTCATGATCATGATTGAAAGGTGATTCACCAGATGAAGCTTTGGACAGCGATCTGGAATCAGAGGAACTCTTGCTTCCGGAGGATCATCTAGAGCAAGATGAAGAACTAAAATTACACATTTTGGGACTCCAATCGTACTATACCAAGTGACATGACAGTACTTTGTGTTGTCATGATTTCCAACACTTTGCACCAACGATCGAGGGCTGCTGGGGGTCAGTCGCGCGTGAAGGTACATCGACACGAACATGGGTCAAAATCCGGTGAACCTCCCTACAAGATGGCTCCCCCCGTCGACCATCTCTATGCTGTTTTGGGAGATGAAGCAGAACACCAACACCGATGTGTCGAGACTTGACAAAACAATGAGAGAGAGAGATAATGTTGAATCATTGACTGAAGGTGCTTGGACAGAAACCATAGTAAGTGGTTTGCCATGGTTTGCCCATTGACTACAGCTGGTTGTCTAAGGTACATGACGTTTTGGAGGCAATTCAGACGCCGTTGGGCAAACATCATCAGATTTTTGCCTGTATCTGATCATTCAGCATGCGACGATTGCTGCGGGTTCAAAGAGGAGTTCCGTGCAGCCACCGTGACTCAACAACAATAGACACCGCAACTCAACACAGTTTATGTTGACTGCACTGTTGACTGCATGTTCCAATGTTTAAGAAACAGAATCTCGAAAGCCCAGGACGATCAAACACGACTGGAATTGTCACGACAATATAAAGCCCACCTTGACCATATCCGAGCAGACAGAGGATTGGAGGAATACCTACAAACACTTTCTCCACTTCAAGACAATTGTTCGGCACTGGTCCTCCATATGGAGTCCTGGCACACTAAGGTTAATTACTTTAAGTTTCAAACTGTTTCATTGACTGTTCAATAACTAAGTGAAATCCTAAGGATGGAATGGATCAGGCAAAGTGGTGCTGCCCTAGAAACAAACGAGCTATGATGCCGAAGGTGTTGAGCGGGCTACAAAAACCCAAGTTCAAGATACAGGGTTGTTGGCTACATTCACTGATATTGGTTCTTTGGATTATAGATTGCCGCTGCCCATCGGACTCTAGCATGGTTGTGGAAACAACTGCTCGGACGATACAATATGGAATGGACATCCTGGAAAGGAAAGGAAAAGCTCGTCCAGATCAATTGATACTGTGGGTTTCTTGACTTGTTTGAGGAAACCATGCCAGATGACCCGTCACACCAAGTATTTTGTTCCATGTGAGGCTGATAACTGCCCAAGAGAGAACAAGAACGCGACGATGCTGAAATTTCTGGCAATGATATTGACCCGGACTCAACTCAAGCTGGGTGGCCTTTTCTTCAGCAAGAAAGGACACACACACAATGCCTTGGGTAGTTTGACAGCGATTATTGCATGTCTATTTGTTTTGCATACCGCTTTGTGTTGCCACCATCGTGGCTGCTTTGGCTTGTACCCGAGACCAAATATATGGAATCATCGCAACCTGCTTTAGATATCTCGACATTATTTCCGATGAGGAAGATATGGTATCGTTCGCCCCTGAGTTGGTTCATGAATGCAAATTGTATCAAATTGTTACGTATACTGGTGTAGGGGTAGGGGTTCAATGGGTTTCATGCCAGGAAGTTGACCACTATCCTCGAGCGCATCAACATCAAATCATGGATCGGTGCAGAAGCAGAGATTCGAGTCGAGTATATCAATGGCGTTCGCCCTTGGAAGGACTTGTTACTTAGTCAAAAAGTAAGTACCCAATATGGACCTGAAAACCCACCGATCTGCCGTGTCTTTTTCATTTGATCATCCGTCCAAGGATGCAGAAGGCTCCGGTCTCGCTCAGCGGAGGCCTGAGGGACGACGATACAGGGCATCACTGCTTTTTGATGATGCGTAGACAAGGCGGGGGGGGTAGAGGTCTAGAGTCACTCTTGTCATATTTGCTGTCTGTGGAGACCTTCCACCAGAAGTACAACAGCATGTGACCAAATCGGGAAGAGGAGCCGACTATTTGCAAGACCATCCGCTCGATATAGTGTGCTTGCTGAAACGATTCGCAAGTGATGACCACTTGTCCCAGGCCGAACAATATGATGTCTATTTGTTGATTTGAATGAGCCAAACATTTGGAGTCAGTCATAAGTTTATTGCATCTGCCAGGAAGCTGTGCTCCTATGGCCCTATCAGTACACTCGACTGATTGGTTCAATCCCAAGTGATGCAAGACCACTTGCCCCCGTGAAGGATTCCAAGAGACATGACTATTTGAAGGTGGCTGAGATCATGCTTTCACGAGTCCCATGTGCTACAACAGCAAGAGCTGTGCAGTTTCTGATTAGGGTATGTGATGAAGGGTTCACTCCTGACCATCCACCTGACCTCCCATGGCTTGGGGACAATCTGCCGGAAGTCCCACAGATTGGAGTAGCCAAGTTGGTCAGTCGTTTAGCACCTATTATGCGGTTCCATGCAAAGCATAATCGTCAGCGATAGAAACAAACTCAAGGGGTGAAAAAAAGAGTTCCTACTGTCACAATAGTGGCTTTGCTATTATTGCATTGAATGCTGTTTAGGCAATGTACATGCCATCATGTTACTTGTATTCCTGTCTGTTGCGCATGCCTAGGCTTTTGTGGGTAGGTTTAGAGGTGAACCAGCCACCGTCATGGATCTGATGGAGCTTCGAAGGCGAGGTCAACAAAACCAGGACCCACTTGCCCCACCGACCATGACAGGCGTCATCAGGTGCCTCGTGGAGAGGCAAAAGCTGGCAAAGCCTGGCCAATTACCTGACAGAGTGTTCCATCTCAACTTCACTTTTGATTGGGAGTGTGTCAGGAAAGGGAGATGGTGAGAAGACAAGTAGAGGACAATGTCACATACTCTTTGTGTTGTGTCTCTTCCTCGCCAACAGGACATGCTCGACAAGGAAGACTCTCAAGTAGATCCAATGACATTCGAGAAGGCCAAAGGGTTTGACAAACAAACGAACCAAAGGGTCTGACAAACAAACGAACCAACATGCACCAAACACACTTGACTGCCGCTTCAGATGGTGGACTTCTACCCCTACTGGCCACCGCCACTTCCATCTCCGAAGGCTGGCTGTCTAGGTTTGTCCGAACAACTTACTTATCTCATGTGCCATTTCGAGGCAACCAAGAACAATAAAAAAAGAAAGCGCAGCTCGGAGAAGGCTGGGATCATCAAAACATGTCGAAACCACATTGCCTCATCTCCTTTGTGCACTTCACTGTCAGGCCTTGGAGTCACAATGACTCGATGAGCTGAAAGCAGGCTCTTCAAAGCAGGGAGCCAATCTCGCGTGTCATTAGACACGTCCGTACTGCCAAAAAAAGAAGAATCTCAGTTATTGCTGTTTTCACTAATTGTGTTCAAGGATTCTTTGAATAGTTCAGTTTCCTGTTTGTGCCAACTTCAACATGTGTTGCGAAGTCGGCCCAAACAGCTCTTGCTATATATGGTGTCTGTGCGACAAGCGCTGCAGCGCATCCTTTGTGTCTCCCCGATGAAAGACCAGGGAGCCACGAAATCCAGGACAGAACACTTGTCAAACAAACCAAAGTGTTTTGTTGCTTCCTGAAAGACGACCACCTACACCAAGCAGAGTGTTGCGAAGAACCGTGTGAAAAAGAACATCTTGAAAAGGTCAATTTCTTCAGTTGAGTAGCATCCGACCCAGTCCTCTTTTGCCAAGGCGCAAGTATCCGAAGACATCGGTTCCCGGGGCCTCAGACAGCCATCCATGTCATTTTCGCTCAATCCAATCGACCTTTGGCTGGGCAAACATCTTTCTGAAGAAGATAGCTGATGTCTGGGGGGAAGCCTTTTTGCTGAAGAAGTTGAACAAATGGGCATGGGATATGTCAACATCGTTTAGTGGTGTCGGGTGTGCAGAATCAGCTCGGTACTCAAGACTTGCAAAAACAAGATGTTCAGAAGGTCATGTGGAATCATTTGGGCATCCTTTGCCCTCACAAGCCCCCGGCGCCAAGGCTGCATTGAGCTTGCAGTCGGCAGTCCGATCTTTCCTCGCGAATTCCCGGACAACCAGAATGAGCAAATCACATGTTGTGCTGAAACACACGTGCGAAATCAACCCTGATTGCCAAGAGGTCTTGGCACAGACATATGGCAACTGCAATTTTTCAGACATTCTGTCTTTGGATTTGACTCGGCAGACATTCTATTGCACGACCCACAAGAAGATGTGCAATGTTCCACAGCGAACAGATGCTTCACGCAGCTCGTTAGAAATAAACATATTAAGCCTTGTTTTCCAAAACGCACAACAACACCCAGGTCTTCAGATCAACATCGCTGGTCCTAGCCTAAAAGGAACAATGTCACCATCATCATTCATGATTATATCAGAATTTTTCAATCCACCCTTCCAGGTCCGGTCTGCATCTTCTTCAGTGCCATGGGGCTTCGGCAGGGTACCAACACGGTGGGGTTTGCGACCCATCAAGCATACTATGAGCGGGTGGCACCCCATCAGGACGTGATCATAGTGGAAAACGTGCCAGAATATCAGGAAAACACGGTGATGGGATGTTTGCCTGGGGGAAACCGTGTTTGGCGGATGAAGTCCATCAGACTGGACCCTAGGGTCCTAGGTCTTCCAACAGCGAGAGCAAGAGTGTTCATGATCATCTACAAGTACAACAAGGTCCAGTGGAACCCAAAATTCCACTTGGAAACCCTCACAGAACATCTTTGCTCACAAGTGGTGATGAGCGCTGAGAGCTACTTTTGGAAGAAGGTCTCCATCCCCAAGCAGTTGTCCGAAGCAGAGGAAACTCTTCTTAAAACAAACAACATACAATGGTTGGACAGGTCCACCACTTGTTTGTTATTGACTGAGCACTTTAAGGAAAGGAACCTACGCGACTACCATAAATTGTGCCCTGGCCTCATGGTGATGGATCTCTCTCAATACCCGAAGAACGGAAGAGGACGTGGCAACACGGTGGATGGATGCATGTGCACCCTCACAACCTCATCAGGGCGGATCTATGGTGAGGCCCTCTTCTTGTCGTGTAAAACCAAGTAATAGCAGAACAACTTGGCATTTCAAACACAACATATGTGCACCCTTGCCCACACTGCCAGGCGAAGCACCGTGTCCTGCACGGCGAGGAGCTGCTCAGCACCCACGTGCTACCTGTCACAGCCACTCAGGCGCGGAAAGCTGGAGCACCAAAACTGGCTCTGGGGACAATTAAGGACACATCCCAAGCGAAGATGGCTGGTAATGCAATGTCGGTTCCCTGCATTGGACTGATCATTATGGCAGCCATCATGGGCCTAGAGCGTGTATAGACAGGAACACCATTTGGCATTTGCACAATTCGGTTTGCAATTAACATCCCGGCCCATAGATGTGTTGAGCCATTAGAATGCACATGAATGCACTTTGTGAGGAAAAAGGCCTTCTCTGGTCACAAGAGTCACACAGTAGTCGTAACTTTGTAACGAAATTGGGAAGCTTGAATTCAGAGTGAACCTGCCTTGCTCTGCGGGTGAGGGTAATGGCTCCATCATCCATCCAAGATCCTAGCCGGCATGGGGAAACGAGCTTCCTCTGCTACTGCAGCAGGTGGGGGCAAGGCCACTAAGGTAGAGCGGCCATGGGTGGACAAAGTGTTGGCAGCAGCCAAGTGGTCTGGATGCAGTCTAGCCTAGCTGAAAAAGTGTTTCATTCCAATGGTTCCATGCTGTGAGAATCCTAAGGGTTGAAGAAACCATGTCATCAAGGTCATTCAACATCTCACAAGATGAACACCCTGTCAAGTTCGTCTTGGAGAACTTATCGGAGGGACTGTATGCTTCGTTGCACACATGGCTGAATGACATTTTGATGAACAAGTTCCAGCACCCGAAAGACTTTACGTTTCCTGTAATTAGGTTGCACACACACATGGCTTTCGGGTTTTGTTCAACAGCAAGGTCCAAATCTAAAGGTCCAAGTTTTCCTTTCACTGAGGTAAATCAGAAAGTGGTGCCACTCCCATTGCTAGCTCTGAAATATGAACGGCCAGTTGATGGGCTTCCTTTGCTATAGGAATGGTTGTTGACCTGCCATGATGTGCTGATGGTAGGCTACGAAGGTCACCGAGAGCCCTTCGAGGTTCAATGCCAGTCTGATGCTCTCGCCTTTGCATCTGTCACTGTTTGCAAAGGTTTAGGTCGTTGTTCAATGATCCTGTTTGCAGTGGTGTTCAGCTATTTGAAGCTGAGAGATGCCGGAATGACAGATGAAATCACAGCTGATTTTACGAGGCCATGGGTGGGGGCATATGCATCGCCTTTGCAAGAACAAAAACAACAACATCTCAAAGGTGATGGTTCCACTGGAACCGTCGCCTTTGAGGCTATGTTTTGGGCAACACTTCTGGTGCCAATTGCTTTTGGGAGATGTATGAGACTTGAAAATAGTATAATCCCCAAAGATTTTGGACAATTAGTACATCGCAAAATACTACAATCTCTAGGATCTGGGTCTGGGGAACCTCCTCAAAGGTGATGGTTCCAGTGGAACCGTCGCCTTTGACCAAACTAGATTTGGGAAGCACCAAAGGTGATGCATATGGGTCCTGATTCCGATGTCAAAGGTGATGGTTTCACTGAAACCGTCGCCTTTGGCGACTCCACATAAAGTTCAATCCTTGTTTAAACACCTCTGCACTACGACCCGGCAACAGGTGGTTGGAGACTGTGATTGACATCCCATGTGTTGTCGTGAATCCCACTGGCAAATTTGGTGCGGAATGGAGACGGTTGCAATCACATGAACAACAAGCAGAACGACAGCGTAAAAACGTTCTCCAAAAATGCCTAGTGTTTAGCCAGAGAGCAGCCCAGAAAGTGGCTGAGGAGAGTTTTGAAATCTGTTTGGAACTGATTGTGCAACGCACTGTCTAAACTGTAGCAGTTGTAAGGAAAAAACAATGTGGAAGTAACATGAAGTAACTATAGTCCAAAATTTGCAGCTGCGACCAGGAACCACATCGGTTTGAAGGGGAGGATGGCTTCAAAGCAGCATTTCTCGAAGGTTGTCAGGAATACAATGCTTTCGGAGCAGCTGCTGTGAGCAAGAGATTCCAAGTGGATGATGCAGCAGCACTTGCATTGTACGGCTTCAAGGTTTCTATGTTCCTGTATATAGTTGGGCATGTTATTTGTTTTTGATATTATGAAATATCATTAGAGAGAGGTGGACTGGACTCCGGATGACTCGGGGGAAGGATGGATCCAACCTCTTGTCACCCACCTCTAGGGGAAACCATATTTCAGAGGGCACTACAAACAACGAACTAACCAGCTGAGGCTGGACTATCGCATGACACCTGGCGCATGATTGAACGCCACCTCCATGAGTATCGATTTGATGCATCAGGCCATTTTTTCGTATGCACTGTATACAGTCTTAAGTCTTGTTTGATCATTGTGTTCTAAGTTTTCCCTGCAGCCTTCAATCGGGAGACTTTGATGGAGACACGGTGGTTGATTGGGGGCAGCAGCAGAACGATCTCAGAACACTGGGATGGCATATTGCGAATGGTTCCAATGAAACAAGAGTTGTTCATGAAACGAATATTGTTTCTCCATTCCATCGCAGTGAAACGCGGTGGAAAATACAGTTCAGCCAGATTGGGCTTGAAAGAATGGCTGGTGGAGGCAGATCGAATCTGCCTGCTAGGGTACATTCTACAAGAGATGCAGGGGATGTGTGATTTGGACGGCAGCAAGACATTCGAGCCAGACCTGTTGGGAAAGATTGTCCAGCAAATCATTGAAGGGTTGGCTGGTCATGTTTTGACTGGACAGAGGACAGACTTTTGTTGCTTCTGTTGTTTTGACTGGATTGACTTCAATTTAAGTAGAATCCATTCAGTAGAAACATGTTTCTTTACTGTTCGCCAGGGATCACAATGCAGAGGCAGATGAACTCTTGGAAATCAAAGACCCTAGCTTCCGGGTATTGCGCACACAGATCTTCCTCGACAACGCTCCAAAGGTGAAGCATGATGACTCAGCTTATACATCTGCTGAGGTCAAGGTATCCCAATTAGATGATGAATCTCGAAAAGCAGGGTGGCAACGAGATACACTAGTGTTAGCCAGAGACGTGGCAAATCTTGGACGTCTCTTTGAGGCTGAGGCCAAGAGTGATCGGGCTAAGAAAACGGCTCGACTCTTGCATTGCAAGGCCCAGAACACCATCGGTAGTGGGATTGTCAACGCATACATGACCCAGAATTGCAACTTTGTAGCGGGAAAGCAGGGAGAGTTGGAAGTGGCAATGGACAAGGTTGGGCAAACAAACATTTTTTGGTATTAAACATTGTTATGTTTCGACTTGAGAAGTTGAAGGGGTGCCAAGCATCTTTAAACCCTGACAGTTTGTGGCAACCACACCAAGTGCTGCTCACATCATTTGGATGGACTTTTCAAAGCTGGGGAGATTATCCATGGGAGATCTCAACATGGCTGTGGACCTAGCAGCTTCGATACTGGGAAAGAAATCCTTGAATTCAATTGGGATTGCTGTGTGTCCAATATTGCCATCGGAGAAGGCGAAAAACACCATTCGTGGCGAGATTAGGAGCTTTTGTTTCTCTTCCATGATCTCATTATTATATAATTGTATGCTTCTGTTCTCTGATCCAACTTTGGTCCGAATGAAAAATATGTCATGTCTTGCCCCAAAGAACATGAACAGGAGAATCGAAGACAAACTGGATGCTCGTGGACTATACTCGGAATACTTCAGCATCCGAATGTCAGCACCGCCTGCGACCAAAAAGGTACCCCTTCAGTTTCATGCATGGATGATCTTCGAGGAAGCCACAACCGCTGACAACATATTTGAGGGGTGCCAATTGATGCTGGACAGGCAAGGTTGTCGGACCAACCAATTGTGTGCAGCTGGTTAAAACCTTCTTGTGTTTGCAAATCATGGATTATGTTCAAATCTTGGGGGAAACACACCCGTCACACCTCCACTCCACCAGCCCATGGCATCCCATGGGACACTGTCCTCCTTTGCGCCAGATCTACGCGAGAGCTTCTGCCTTGGGCCGCAGAGAGTGCTTACATCGTCCCAACATCAGAAAAAGATTCACTCCCCCATGCAAGCGAAGGAGTCAGGTGGGGATGGGGATGGTTGGGTTGAGGTCTGAAGTATGTATAATAACTCATGATGAATGTATGGGTTTTGGGTCTATGATGAATGTATGTTATGAATAATTGAACTGTTTTTGTCAGGGCGCTCTCAGATGTCCAAGAAGCAGCCCAGTTCCTACATGGAGTTGACTTCCCCAAGGCCATCCTGACGTCCCTACTGGCAAAGACAAAGTTGAGTTCTGGGATTGTCTCACTGATAAATCTCACTCCCTACGATGCATTTCTGGAACGGACCTGCTTGGCATGGCATGCAGAGAACAAAGAAACAATTCGGTGCCTTTCAGTTTCAACCAACAGCAAAGTGGTGAACTATTGCGCCCAAAGTATTGCAATGGACCTGTTGGAGGAGATGGGTAGACCAAAACAATGTGTCTCAAACGTGGGTCCCTGTGGTTCTTGAGCTTGGTTCCTTATAACATCAATGATTGTGTCAAACAGGCTTTAGGTGTGTGTGTGTGCAAAGCATGGAGGACTGGAAGCGGGGAAATCATCAGATGGGCCGAGTTCGGCCCTTTGAGAAAGACCCCCCAGCACCGCCAGATGAAGTGAACATCGATTCCTTTGGGTTCAAAATGGTCGTCGTGGAGAGGGTTCCAGGGAAAAGAGGATGGGCACAGTACCGGTTCTCGATTCCACAAAAAATCCGATTGTTGTACATGAACGATGTGCTCTATGGTCCAGGGTGGCGTCAATATTTGGCAGACTTCGACAAAAAGTTTCTTAGACTTCTGACTCAGAATCAGAATGACACCAAATATGAAGTGTTCATGCCAAATGGACAGTTGACTTCAAAACATTTTGTGTCGCCCAGGTTTGATGTCAACGCGGCTCCACCAGAGACCTCAGCTGTGGTCCCACACACAGAGGATGATGTGGAAGTCGAGGAATCATGGTCTGAACCTAGCACACTGGAAGAGCTCATGAACCAATACGTTATGGAGGCCAAGATGGCCGGTAAAGTCAGTGGAACCAGTGTGTATGTGGTGCCAGCATCACGCCGGGACGGCTCAGAGAGTGAAATCGTTCCGTCCCAGAAGTTCAAACTTTTCCTGGCTCCTGGGTAGGAAAGCTGGAAATTGTGGCAATCGTTGTTTCGGTTTTAGAGACTTCGGAAATATACTATTCGTAGAATT